CGTCGCCGGTCAAGCCCATCTACCTTTCTCTCTCTCTCTCTCTCACTTCCTCTGGCGACATTAGTAGGTCCCGAACTTTCATCCGGCGAGGCGGCGACACTAAACATTCCCTCCAGCGACCAACAGCAGCTCCCTCCGGCAACCAGTAACAACAACCTCTCCTCTTTGTTGAGCTTCACCTGCAACAGAGAGAAAAAGTAATAATCACCTTTTTAAGCACATTAATCATCTGTCAGCTGCTTGCCTGCATAAATAAGCCTAAAAAACACATTTACAGTAAACAACAAGGCATATTTTAAGCACATTGATCATAATTGATTGCCAAAGAGTATACTGTATACATAAGTTGAAGTTAAATAAAAAAGTTGAAGTGAAAGGTGGACCCTATTAGCGAAATGGTTTTCGAACAACAAGAACTATAAAATCGAAGGCAGTAAAACTTTACTGATGTTATAAAAGCTTGCTTTCAACTAGATAATAGCTTATAGAACCACAAGTGCGTTTTTTATGTTTATGTTTATTTTATTTTGGGTTAAAAATCATGAAACATATTTATATTTGACCGCTATTTGACTGTGCGCTATTTGCCGCTATTTTGCCGCAATAGCGTCAAATAGCCTTAGCGGTACCTCGCCGCGACGCACCGCTATCCGCTATCAGCAACCTTGATATGAACTTACTACATATGACCTCCTACTTTCAAACATGTCCTAAATTACATCTTAAATGGTAATTTACATTCAACCACAGCCTAGTATATGTTGGTAAACTTTTTGGTTCATGTCGATGTTACATGTTAAGTTTATAGTGAGTACAAGTAACATTACAAACCATAAGCATTTTTTCATGTAAAACCTTGATAAGAGAAGAGTGTACTTCAGTTTGTTGATAATGTAACTTTTTTTTTCCTTATTTAGGAGAATGTCATACAGGCAAGCATTTCATACTCTTATATATTCAATAAACTGTACACTTCTTGGTCTTTGTTATGTTAACATCATGCTCTGTCAAACATAACTTGCATATTTGATTGCATGAAATCTTTTATAACATGTCTAAACAGTTTATTTTAGTATTGTTGCCTTCTGTTTATTAGATGATGACCTATTCTTGCAGACTGCTTCTTGTTCATTTCTTAGTAAGGAATAGAAATAAACAAAGTGAGGCAAGAGATCTTTTCCTCATTTTTTTACTCAGAAAGCGAAGGAGTAGGACAAATAGAAATAACCAACTATATTTTCTTCTCTATCATAAAAAAGAATTTCGTCTCTCTTTTTGTTTCTTACTTCTTTGTTTGCGAAATTCTTTGCCACCAACATCGGATCTAAACACTTAACTATTTTGTATGAAAATATTTGAAGTGTGCAACTTATATGAGCACTTTTTTTGACTCGTGTGCTTGAGTAGGGCGTTTCCCCAAGATATCTAAGACAGAAAGATTGCTTATGTGTTGGTGGGCATTTACGGGCTTGACTCACATTATCCTCGAGGGCTATTTTGCTTTCACTCCAGATTTCTATAAGAAGACACCTTTCCTGGCTGAACTTTGTAAGTTTTATATAATCCATAATTTACTTCACCTAATTACTATTTAAGCTAAGTCGATTTGTACATTGTTAGCTTTTTTTTATCTTAATCTCAGTTAATGAGTTCGCCTAAAAAAATCAGGGAAAGAGTACAGCAAGGGTGACTCGAGATATGTAGGAAGAGATGCCAGCAGTTGTAACGGTTGAAGGAATTACTGCTGCCATAGAGGGTCCAGCTTGCCTTCTTGCTGTGTAAGGTTTCTTTCTCTTTGTTTCATTATAATTTTACTGTTTTTATATTAATAACTGGTCTAGTGTACTACACCATGATATGTTACATGATATGTTAGTTAGTTACTAGCCTACTGGGAGTGAATGTACTAATTGAAATAGTAGTTCAATTGATTGAAAAACTAATTCACTGCACATCTTTGAGCATTGTATGCAACATGTCTAAAACTAGACATTATATTTTAACCTATCATCTCATATGATCTTAGGATATTATATACTTCAAATTCAATCGATACGAAAATCTCGGAATAGTGTACCTAGTACCTACATAATAATTACTGAAATACCAATCAATTTTAATCAAAAGACGTAAAACCTAATGTTTATACTCAGTAATTTCATTTTCTGTTTCCTTCCTTCTTGGTTGTGTCCCTTCTCCTACCCAATAACTCACCTTTAATCAAAATGCTTCATAACCTTCATCTCCTCAAGTGGAAAATTACTAGGAAGGCCTTGGAGCTTGATTTTTATTTAGTGAATGCAAACAAAACATGTTTGTATATTTCTAACGAGAAGAAACTCGTCAAAAGAGAATGTGCATGGAAAAATTCAAGTTTTATACTGCCATAATTGTTAGATTAGCTACCTTATGATGTCATGTAGCAAGAATGCAAGCTAGACTAAGAAACTGACCTGCTTCAAGCTTCGACCGATATTTGGGGAGTTGGTCAAGAGCATTGTAGCTACTTTTCAAACACTGACAGTAGCCCTAATGGTAGGATCCGGATCAATGTTTTTGGCCCAGAACCATATAAGGCAGTGTTGTCAATGCACGAGGCGCAATTCAAGTTGTATACTGCCATAATTGTTAGATTAGCAACCTTATGATGTCATGTAGCAAGAATGCAAGCTAGACTAAGAAACTGACCTGCTTCAAGCTTCGACCGATATTTGGGGAGTTGGTCAAGAGCATTGTAGCTACTTTACAAACATTGACAGTAGCCCTAATGATAGGATCCGGATCAATGTTTTTGGCCCAGAACCATATAAGGCAGTGTTGTCAATGCACGAGGCGCAATGCGGGGTGCAAAGCATCTTTACGCACACATGCGCAAGGCACAACGCGATGCGCGCGCCTGAGTGATGCGAGGTGCACACCGCAGACATAATTTCTCAATATACATAATCAAGCACGAGAATTTACATGAAAAATATGTCAGGATAAATAATATATTACTACAAAATCACAATATAATGCCTTAATTTCTGATGCTAACACCCAACATAATAGCAAAATTCATAAATTTTTAAATAAAATGTTAAATCAAGACTAATATCCAAGCAAAGGATTATCAATGGTCCTCAATTGAAGGCTACTTAGGCCTAATAGATTTATTTTGCTTTTTGGGATATAGATTATCAAGTATAAAGACTTGATTGAAATGTTAACAAACAAAACTATATGAGGATATGTACTATATGCACTCTGCACAAAGTAAGGATGTACGTGAGGCGCAAAAAGCGCTGCTGTATCAGATCTGAGGCGCTTTGCCACCGCCCCGCATTGCAAGGCACATGAGACGTAGTGAGATGCACGCCTTTGAAAACACTGATATAAGGTTTATTTAGCTATATGAAAATCTCCATCTCTGACATAACCACTGATCTTGTCATTCTTCCTGCCACGTGATTCTCTTAGCCCATGTTTGGATTGTGTATAATAACCCGATAATAAGCCTTTATTCATTTAGGTCATATGTTTGGATTGGGATTTGTTTTCTTCACGAATTAATCTAACTTATTGTAATTCTGAGATAGAATAATCTAGCAGACTATAGCAAGTGAAAGTTTAATAATCTTTTTGATTCAGTTTATTATTAACACCTCTAATACCCATGTTATGCTTGAGAACTTATCATTACAAGATGGTATGAGATTAGGACATAACAATGAATGTCCATACTGCCCTTCTGCCTACAAGGCACAACTCTTAAGTCTGCGTGAATTTTCAGTAGAATTTCATGGCATTTTGAAAATTTCCAACTATAAAACCACATGATCGAACAACACCAACACACAATACAGAGACTGATATGTAAATACAATACCATTTTTCAATTATAATCACCAATAAATTAATGCAATATTAATAAATATAATATCTAACATTCATATCTGCAAGGATACCACTAGCCATTATAATACATATCTCATCCAAATAAATAAGTGCCCATCGTAAGTATACCTTAAACAAGTAAATAGAATATTATCAAATATAAAAATTGTCTAAAATATCTGTTACAATAATGTCAATATCATAAAAATTGTTGGTGGAGAGAGAGACTGCTTGACGGAGATATAGAATAGGGAAACCTAATATTGGGATTTATATTTCTCTAGGTAGGGTGTTAATATTTAAGTTAAGGGGAGAAGAGGTTCTGTTCGGGTACAACCCTAAGTGGAAAATAGTTCCAGGACTGCAGTGTCACTTCCACCTTCCTTTATTTAGTCTCGAAATGACAGAGTTATTTATTTGATGGACTAAAACCCTCGGCCTAACCTTCCTTTAAAATTTTGAAGTAAATGCGCCGCTTCTTTATTTTGATAGACAAAATCTTGTTACCGGGTAATAATACCCAATCCAAAACATAGCCTAAAATAAAATATTGGGCTGTGGATCATAACATCAAAGGGGATTAGACTGGAATTTTTATTCTTTTAAAATGAAATAGTCATGACATTTTGGGGCTAAATAAAGTGGGGTTAGGGTGTTATTGTAGCATTTCTCCATTGGGATTAGACCCGATCATATACCCTTGCTCCTTAACTTTCATAAGCATTGCCTCTTCATCCGGGGATATATAAACCCCAAAATTAGTTTTTTTTTCCCTTTCTAATTTCTCTCTCTCTACCAAGCAACCTCCCTCCTCTGACAATTTTTATTATATTATGATAGATATTTTTAGACAATTTTTATATTTGATGCAATTTTATTTACTTGTTTATGACATATGATGTGTACTTATTTTTTGGATGAGATATGTATTTTGATGGCTGACAGAATCCTTCTTGTTATGAATGTTGGATATTACACTTGCTTATGAATTGTACATGTGATTTTTGGTGATTGTAATTGCAAAGTGGTATTATATTTATGTGTTTGTATTGTTTAATCAAGTGCATTTGCATTTGGAAATGTCCCAAATGCTATGAAATTGTCCGAATTCTCTGAGAAATTTAGCTAAAGTCATGGCTTGTAGGTACAAGGCTACTGCAGACCTTTAATGTTAGGTCCTAATATCATATCATCTTGTAATGACAAGTTCCTAAACATAATTTAGTTATTAGATGGGTTAATTGCTAACTGAACCAAATAGATTATTAAAATTTAACTCACTATAGTTTGTGAGAATATCATATCCCACGATTATACCAAGTTAAATTAATCCCAAAACAAAAGAAGTTCCCAACTCAAACATGATCTTAATCTTGTGTCAATTTGCAACCTGGTGATGATTAATTTCCTACAATGAGGCTGTGGAAACTTTTATACGTCAAAGACCATCAGTTGTTATTTCTAGAAGTTTGCATTTATTACTACATGATCTAGTCTGGTTATAATAGCCTTTTGTTTTAAATTAAGGTTAATTGCATATTATATACATTCCTATGTTGAGAGGATATAACCACTTATACCTTCTACACCATTTTATTAGAACTTACAACCCGTTAACTCCACATGGTATGATTTCTCATTAAGTTGAGATGTCACATGGGAATCACATGCAAGGTTTTAAATAGCAACGACTTTTGGGTATTAAAATTTAAATTCTCATGTGACATCTCTCTGCACCAGTTTGAATTTGAAGGTTACAACATTTTTGGGATATTTCACCGATATATCAGCTCAATTCGGATATATTGACCGTTATTTCGGGTTGAAAATAATGATCAATATATGGGTTTCATTTCATTGTGGGTTCGGGTTTAGGTTTCAACCCAAACTCCAACCCATAATCAAATAAAAACCCATAATCACTATTGCCCAAAATCGGTAGTAACCGTCAATTGAAACAAATCTCTTTTTATATCTAATCTGAATTATGGTTAGATATTATAAAGTATGTTTATATTACATGGTAGGATATTATATTATATATGCACATCATCCTATATGACACCCCGCTATTTCCTACATATATCCTGATATTACCCTAATATATGCAATCTGATATGGATTTGGTTTGTTTGTTATTTCTACGATATCTAATATTTACAACCTTGATCACATGACAATAATCACCTCTGCCTTGAAGTTAGCTTAAAAGCGAGCCTAAATTGCTCTCTAAATTGAGGGGAAATAATATTGCAAGTGTCAATAAAGTAGTTTAGAAGATACAAGTGGCTACATGGCACAGCTCTATAGTACAAGGACCACAATTAACCCTCATTTAAAGATGACATTAACTTTTATGTTTGCATTGCATCACATATTCAGATTCTACCTGACCTGATTAAGCCATTTGATATAGGTACGCCATTGCTACGAGGAAGCCATATAATTATACCCTCCAGCTTGCAATCTCTCTCGGTCAGCTTTACGGATGCTTAGTTTACTTCATAACAGCCTTTCTTTTGGGTGACAACTTCTCAACCAGCCCATACTACTATTGGGCATATTATATCGGGGCAAACAGCTCTTGGGTTGTGATACCATCTCTCATTGTTATGAGAAGTTGGAAGAAGATAAGCTCCGCAGTTCATGCCGAGAAAAAGATGAAGACCGGATAAAATTATATACATTTGCTTGGTTTCCTCTCCTGCTGATTTAGTAAGTTGGAAGTTGGAAAAGGCCAGGGTCCGTGACAATAAGCCGTGACAATAAGCTTTGCTTTTCCTTATTTATGCCGCTGTTTATCTTGAACTATTGTTTAGGTTCGATGTGATTCAGCCCGACATTTGAATTGTTTAGTGTCTATCAAGAATTTGTATTGTTATATGCGTCTTTGGAACAGTGTATTATGTAGTGGATCTGCATTTGAAATTAGTGCTTTTAATAGACCATTATTATGTTTGTTAGCAAATTAAAATATAGAATTGAGAATGGAGTTGCGATCTGCTTTTGAAATTCCAGTAGTAGAAAGTATGTTTTATACTTCTAGTATGTCGTACGTGCGTTGCAAGTGATGCATGATACAGTTATAGATTAACATATGTTATTAAATTAGTTTTTAATGTTAAATTTATGATATAAACCATAAGTTTTAGGGGATTATCTCAAAACAGAAAAACTGTAGGGTTCCATTCTAATATAGTATCAACATAGGTTTTTCCTATAAAGAAAATAACTACAAAGAGCATCCTTGTGGTCTGGGCTTCACAATTTTTATGTAGTGGTTCACTTTACATTATAAATTTAAGGATATTTTAGCGTTGTCTAATTTCTTACATTGCTAAATTGAGTACACATCATTTTTATTCAACCATCAATATCTTGTAATTAAACTTTCCTATTGATTCTTCATCTCTACAAATAATTTGATTATCCATCTTATATTTTTTCTAGAAGTTGCTCTTTAGTGCTCATTCTCTCCTTTTATGGAAGTCCACATCAAAATAGTTAGCTACTACATTAGCACACTGTACATAATTTGTACAACATTAGGCACAATTCTATGGTATAACTAAAAGCAAGTTCTCTATTCTTCTAAACAAAGAACATGAAGAAATTATTGGTCAACCATTTCTCATATTTAACTTAGTCAAGATGAAAATTGTGTCTTTCTACATGCATAAGTAGGCATTTGCATAATATAATCTTGGTTAATTACTCTAAAACATTATCCTTCATCATATTGTTACATACACATAACTATATTTTCAAGCTGAATGATAATTATGTAAAACAAAAATTAAGAATAAGTGCTTAACCTAAAATACAATTTTATGGGATCCCAAAAGTCCTCACAAGGTAACTAACATGATAATTAGTGCTTAACCAAAAACATAATTTCAAGAGAACCTAATTGTCATTAGAACCACACAAACTTTAATACTTATAGTTATTAGAATTATTAAAATTGAGAGGGTATGAAAGGAAATTAAAAGTTTTAGCATAGCAATCCTCTTTTATAGTAGTATAGATATAGATATAGATAGATATAGATTAACTGCAGGCGTTTAATTAGCAGAAGGCTTGTCCTAACTGCGACTTGTAGAAAATCATTCGTGAAATGCAATTATGTTTGTTAAATAGTTTTACTTTATCATATAAAACTTTTTGTATTGCTATATTAGATCATGTTCATATTTCTATTATACCAGTATGCCACACGCGCGTTGCACGTGGCATACTTGGTTTTAGAAGTTATTAGTAAATAATATATTCTACGCTATTAATTCTTAAATATGTACTCACGATATAATATTTACTTATGGTATAATGATACTTAATAAATCACGTACGAAAGTTACAAAGGCCACTTAATAAAAAATTAATATTAAATGTCTAGTATTTTGTTGGAATAACAAAAATTATTATTAGATGCAAAATTACAAAAGCTATGATAGCAAGATGGAATCACAATAGATATAAAAATATTGTTTGAATAGCTCAATTCATGGAAATTGTATATCTCAATTTTTTTTATCTAAATTAAAGAATCTTAATCAAGAGACAAATTAATCTGGATTTCATATAAGAAATCAAAATTTTTATGCAATTCAATCGATTATATCATATACAGGTTTGTGTATTCTGATTTACTTAATGATTAGAAGATAGATAGCCAGTATGTTTTATTAGTTAATCTTTGTAGCCTAAAGTTGATAGGAACAAAGAACTTATTGATCATTAATCAGCAAAAAGAAGACAAACAAAGTTTTATGATTCAACATAATTATTAACGAAAGAACATAAAAGATGCTTAATAGAGGTAAGAAAATCAAAAGGCCAAGAAACATTGAAAGCGTTGGACAAGTTGATAGCACATCTGAACTTAAAGTACAAATGAATCGAGTAATTAGTTAAGAATTAAATCATGAATATATCTAATGGATAAGAAAGCACAGCATATGACCTATATTGAAAAGGAAAAGCACAACTTATGATAAATAGTGAAAAAAGCTACATAATTAC